TGTCTGTCTCCTCTCCACCTATCTTCTCCTCTACCTATCTTCTATCCGCCTCCTCCTCTCTACCTATTTATTTCAGAACCCCCTTCCCCTCCCCCATTTCTGAAGAAGGGTCTAGACCCGAAACGTCAGCTTTCCTGCTCCTCTGATGCTGCTTGGCCTGCTGTGTTCATCCAGCTCTACACCTTGGTATCTCAGATTCTCCAGCATCTGCAGTTCCCACTTTCTCCCACGAAGCAGGATCACTCAGGATTGCCTGCCATTAGTTTGCTTTAAGCCATCAATCATTTCATTGACTTTTGTTTAGCCTTATCAGCGTATTTTTCAAACAGGGTTTGGTTTTTTATCCCCCCTGTATCTTTGATGACTGTCCTTTTCCCCAATCCATCTTCAGTATCAAACTGGAGATTCTTGCTTCCTTTTTGTACAGATGAAACCAGGTGCGACATGGTCAGAATTTAATTTTAATTTGTTTTACTGACACATTGATGCTTTCTGCACTGCTTAACAGTTGGATTCCCCTTCATTCTCAGTTAATCAACATCTCTCTTCCAAACTATCCTTGCTGGATTTGTATTTTCTGAACACAGATGATGATGAAAATTGCATTTCTTTGTCCCAAATAAAGGAAGAAAAGGACGTTTCTAGGTCTGACATGTGTAGTTACATTCTATGGTATTAGAAATCTGTTTGTTTTTAAGGTATAGAACCAAATGCAAATGCAATTTCGGTTTTTCTAACAAAATTTAAATTGGTCAAGAAATTTATTGGTATTATGTGCAGATGCAACATTAAAAAGCTATTGTAGGAAATGGCCTCTAGAAGGGCTCTAATATTTTAAATGCAATGATTCATTTTAATGATTTATCAAATGAAAATCATTCACATACGGTCACAGTTACTTATCTTACAGAATCAATCAAATTATAAATAAAATGGCAAATAAAACATTAAAGGAGTGTCTCTCCTTATTGCAGCCTTAATTAAAATTAATAAAAGATGAATCAAGATAGTCCAGGAACAAAATAGTGTGGAGATTCATGCAGCACAGAAGATCACTTGGCCCTCAATGCCTGTGTTGGCTCTCTGAAGGAGCTATCCAATTAGACACACTCTCCTGTTCTTTCCTCAAAACCTTGCATTACTTTGCCTTTAACAGTATTTATTTGATTTCCTTTTGAAAACAACTAAGGCATCTGTGTGCACCACCCTCTCAAGCAATGCTTTCCAGATCATAACAACCGGTTTATAGAAAGAAATCTCATTCCATGATGCCCACCACCCCCGCCCCCACCATACCCCACTCAAGGTCTTTTTCTAATTACAATTGTAGGATTAATATCTCATGCTAATATTCTTGTCTCAGGAGTTCTGAGCCCAGACCACTGCCGTGTTGTCCAAGCAGCAGCAATGATGGCCCGATTCCCATGATGTTCAAACTTTTCCAGCTCAACATTGCCGAGTGCTTTTTTCCAGGATATTCCACACGTGGCTGTCACAGAATTCTGCAGCACATTGTCCATTGTGATTCTTCATTGGAGTGGAATAGAGTCTGAGGATATGCTCGGTTTGTACGGCACTAGCCATTGTTTGGTAAATTTATAGGTGTGGTCTAAATGCTATTGCATGCAAAAGTGAATGGCTGATATAGGATAGGTGGGTAAGATGGGTGAGGTAGTAATTGGGTGATGTTGGTAAGTGGATGAGGTGGCAGGTGGGTGAGGGGCAGCTAAGTGAATTGGGATTTGGAAGAGCTGGTCGGTAGGTGAATTGGTACATGGGTCAGGAGACCATCTGGTCTGATCGCAGCAGCGGTCAGGTTGGGTCAGGAGAGTAACGAGGCAGTTGGGAGTATGGTCAGCTGGGAGGGGCTAGTCATAGAGATATACAGCATGGAACCGTCAGGTTGGATGGGTAGTTGGGTTGTCAGAGGGAGTAATTGGGATAGGTTGGCACTGTTGTCGAGTGATCAGGGGAATAGTTGGATTATGGGTTGGTTGGCTGGGAGGTGTGATTGGCAGGGTCAGTAGAATGATTAAGGGATCAGCTGTATTTATCTACGTTAGAACGGGTTTTAAACTAACATTCAAGTAAGTCCCACAGAACTGTCCAAAGTCTCGGATTCTAACTCAGAGTTGGAGACATTCAGTTGTGGTGGTGGTGGTTGGTGGTTGGTGGGGTGCCAGGAAGCAGTGGCATTGTACACAGGAAATCAAAACTTCCCAGGCAGCTCCCACCCACATAGATTGACACGCCAAGCCTTCCAGGGGGTCTTGACCCTTACCTTGTTGCAAACTGGAGCCTGGAAGACTTGGCCGCATTAATAAATTGTTTCTCCTACTTTCCCACTCCCACCCCTCCCTCTGTAGCCAAGAAATTAACTTCCCGTTTATCACCTTGTTTAAACAGAGGTCTCCATCCCACTCAAGTGCCGCTTGAAAAATGACAATTAAATGATGGAAGTGGATGCGTTGAACTGAAGCACACATAGGTTAAGGAGAGAAAAAAAATCATATTGCAACAACATCAGTCTCTATAGACTCAGTGATCAATCCAATTGGTACCTGCACGCAGCAAAATAATTTGTGAGCATAAGAAATAGGAGCAGGAGTAGGCCATCTGTCTGTCAAGCCTGCTCCACCATTCAATAAGATCATAACTGATCTCTTGGTGGACTCAGTTTCACTTACCTGCGTTCACTATAACCCTTAATTCCTTTACTGTTCAAAAAACATCTATCTTTGACTTAAAAACATTCAACGAGGTAGCTTCAACTGCTTCACTGGAATTCGACAGATCCACAACTTTTTGGCTTAAGAAGTTCCTCCTCAATTCAGCCCGAAATCTGTTCCCCCCTTATTTTGAGGCTATGCCCCCTAGTTCTAGTTTCACCTGCCAGCGGAAACTACCTCCCTGCTTCTACCTTATCTATAAACTTTTGTTAACCTCTTTCCCAAACAAAAACCTTTTCTTTCTCTCTGCCCAATCCCCCACCCCAAGTAGTTCTGCTAAACAAAGCCTTGAGATTGGATGTGGAACTTGACCAGAGTGTGTTTCCAGTTGTGCAGACCACAGTATTGAAGATACAGATGCCTAAGTGTGACACAGCATCCACCCCCACCTCAGTCTGAGTGTTATGGGTTTGGGTGGGTGGGGGGGGGGGAGGGACAGGATGGATGATTGCGGGGACAGACAAAGTGAGGGTAGGATTGCGCAGGGCGGGTTTGGGTTGGGAGGTGGGGGGGGAGTTGGTTTGTCCAATGATTGGCGGCGGTGGGCGGGCATCCAGGAGCGGGCTCGCTGTTTGTAAAAGGGATCTCCGGGACTGGCGGTGAACACAGAAGGACAGGAATGGCGCTGAGGATTGTGTCTGCCTGAGCGAGTCAGCGGGATTTAAAGGGTGTTCGCCGGGCGCCTTGGCTTCTACTCGCCGCCAAGTTTTGTTGCATTGCATTGATGTGCAGGAAGACTCGCAAGATTTGCATTTACAAAATAAAGAGGAGTTGGGGGGTGGAGGAGGAGGAAGAATTCAAGGGGAATAAAAGCAAATCCCTCTCATTAATAGGAAATGGAAACTTTCGGGTCAATAGACAACCAGCTTCGACTGGAGAATCACAGCAGCCCAGTCGATTACTTGCACCAGAGGTACGCTAGTACTTATGAAAATACTTTCAACTCGTGGAATGATTACTTGGGGTTGAGCACTCTGGTTGGGAAGGCTGTGAACCAGGGGGGGAAGAGCGGACTGCACCCGGCCAGGGAGCGGAAGCTACAGTCCCGGGCACCGTGCATCAGCCGCTCCCTGGAGTTCCGGGGGCTGGGGCTCTGCTCCCACCACGACGCGCTGCTCGGCTCCGAGCTGGAAGGCAGTTTCTCCGACAGCTTCAGCCCTTTCTCGGCTTATCCCGCGGCCGTGGAACCCTTACCCCATCAGCCCCAGCAGCAGCGCCTGGAGCGGGAGCAAGGGGGTGACTCGTCCTGGAACCGAGTGGATGTGATCATGATGGAGAACAGGAGCCATCTACAACTTGCCCACTACCAGCAACAGCCGCCTCTGCCTGCACCTCCGCCTCCTGCCGCCCACAGAACCTCCAGGGCTAAGGCCGAGCTGCAGATCTGCGTCTTCTGCAGGAACAACAACGAGTCGGTCACTCTGTACACCACCCACATCCTGAAGAGCCCTGACGGCAGGGTACTCTGCCCCATTTTGAGGCGGTACACTTGCCCCTTGTGTGGTGCCAACGGGGACAACGCGCACACCATCAAATACTGTCCACTCTCCAAGCTACAGCCCAGTATCCCAAAGCTGAAGACGAGAAATTGCGTTAGCAAGAGGGCCCGTTAATAAGGAACTATTCCCTTTTACAAACAAGGAAGGCATTGTGAACCCAATTATCCCCACTTCCCCCCCCCAGGCTTTGTAGACTAATATGTGGACATTTTATTAAGACAATATATTTTGAGTCTGGGAATAAACGTTTTATAGTAACTGAATGTACTCTTTGTCTAAATTTGTTTACAATCTAATGTTTCTGGTGGAATATCTAGCCCAGAAATCTACCTCAGTTATATAAAAATATATAGTTTATGGAATTAAGAGAACGCCATAATTTTCTTTTCGTTTGCAAAATCCACTACGTGCATTTCATCTTCGGAGAATTTAAGGTAACTCAGTAATTATAATGTAGAAAATGTATTTGATTTCCCCTGTTTTCGAATGTAATGTTTGCTACTTTTTAAAAGTGAAATGTAAAACAGATCTAAAGATTACTAATGAATAACTGTGTTAACAACAGTACGGGGAGCCAATAAATTTTCACGTTTTAGCAGCTCCTTTTGTGTGTTTTGTTTCATTAGTGGGGGAGAGGCCAGTTCTGCAGCATCTGGCCTTGGGCGCCTTCCTGTGGACAACAGTTGAAGTGCAGACTCCGCTTACCCTCAGATAGTAATGCAAACCCCTTTTTAAAGCCCAAGGACACCACGTACTATTGATATGTTGAACGTCACATTTTCTTAAAATTAAAATCCGTAGCCGAACCTGCTGGATTCGCTGACGTCTACCTAGATTTTGGAAACACCAGAATGATAATGGTTATTTTTAATTGCAATTTGCTATTTAGACCAGACGATGTGCTTGCGATTTGGAGATCTCCACTCGTTATGAATTATATAAAATTGTGCTTTAACTGATGGAACTACTTCAAGTATATTGATTGATCGCTTTCTGTTGAAGGTTCATGATAATCGGGAGTGTTTCTAGAGAAAATATATTGTCCAATACAGTGGTTCTTTTAAAAAACATAAACTGGAGCAAGGTGTTCGGAGAAAGAATCGTATTGGACGAGAAATGTTAACTCTGTTTCTCTCGCCAGAGATGATGTCAGACCTGGTTAGTTTCTCCAGCACTTTTTTTAAACTTCTAGAGCAGGGGAGATTGTCGTTGGACAGGACCTAGTTTTGGGGGGGTGTGCTGGTACCATTTTTTAAAAAGCTTCCATTTATATAGTGTAGTACCTTCTACAACACCAAAGTGCTTTATAGCCAAAGAAATACTTTTGAAGTGAAGTCACTTCTACTGTGGCCACTATACTTCCTAATATATACTCAATATGTTAATGACCGAATATCTCTTTGTGATGGTACTGGGTGAAACTGCTGGTCTCCTGACCAGTATTTAACTCTTGGTTCTTCTCTTACTCTCTTTCCCCTCCCCAACAAGGTAAGTGTTGTGGGACTTTATTTGCATCCATCTTGGTTTGTAGTATTGGGATTAATCTGCATGAGTCCTGGAGTCGTACTTGGACTCAACACTTTACAACACACATGACTCAGCAGGAGCCTCAATGATGGGTATTGGGACAGCTGCTGTTTGTAATTGGCATCGAGTAAGATTTAGAAACTCAAAGCTGTTACGTTTTCAAGTATCAAACTAGGTTTGGATGATGCAACATAGATTTTTTTAAAAATTAATCTGGTGGTCTGCGTCTAATGAAATATGATACAATAAAATACTGCAGAGGTAGGAGGAACAAGAATGGTCTGTACTGAATGAAGTTTGAAGCTCAGCAATATTCCCTGCCTGTGTGGCATGCAATACAGCCAACAGACTGCTGAATGGCATAATTAAAAAGTGACCAGCAAATGAAAGACTACTAGATGGAATAGTAGTGGAGCTTAACCATTTAAGAAATGATTAATGCCACAATGGGAAAACACACACGTTGGTAATGTACAATGATGTAGATGTGCTGGTGTTAGACTCAGGTGGATGAAGTCAGAAGTCACATGACATCACGTTGTAGTCCAATAGGTTAATTTGAAATCATCGGCTTTCAAAGCGCTGCTCCTTCTCGGGTGAAGTACAAGTTTTACTGGAATGAATGAATGGCCTTATCAATAAGCATCATGTGTGGAATTGTGTTTTCAAAGCAATTCCACCATTAAAAGAGATTGAATATTTGACCTTTCCCTTTCCAGCACCACCTACTTAAAGGTATTATGCTGCATCTTTAATTTCCAAATCTGTGTAGGTGTGAACATGGCTCAATGTTAGTATTCACTCACAAAAAAAATGTGGGTTTAAGCCCTACTGCAAAAATTGAAAGCCTACACAGATTACATCAGTATTACTGAAGAGGTGCTGCATCATTAGAAGAGCAAAATTCTGGGCCTGTTCAGGTGGTTGTAAAGGATTCTGTACAATCAGATTTATCCAACTATTATGTTTAAACCAATGTTAAACAAACACTCATTATTTACTTCCTGTTTGTGGGTTATTACGGTGTATAAATTGTCACTTATTTTTCTGAATTAGTGATTATACACCAAAAGCCATTAATTGAGAAGTTCTTGGGATTTCCTGAGAACATGAAAGTTAATACATTAATGTGAATTCTTTTGTCCTTTTCTCCAAAGACAGCTTTGGATGTACCTGGGTAACCTTGGAACAAAGGTGTATGGCATTTTATGAAATAACAACCACAATAGGCTAGGTGAATAATGAAAATGTCTTTTTTAAAATGGTAAATTAAGCATGCTTGAAGCTGTTATATTAGTGGTGCTCTTCTGCGTGAATATGTTCATAATTAAATAAAACCAGTCGTGTGAAAGCTGAAACAAGTCATTGTAACCTAGTATTGTGCCTTTAGTTCACACTTGTGAACAGTACTGTATGCAGCTCTGGTGTCTTTACCATAAATAGAAATAAGGGGCATTGGAAAAAAAGTTTAAGAAAAGTCAAGGTCAAAAACAAATGATATATTTAAACAGGATAGGCCAAATAGCCTTGGACTCTGTCTTCTTTCCAGGGAAGAGGATGATCATTTTGGCCTGTCAAGCCTCCTCGTCATATGTATTAACTGCTTTAGACTGTTTTCTTCCATTGACAGTTTTACCTTTAATATATTCAATGACCCAGTCTTCATTATTCTTTGGAATTCTCTTTCACAGAACAATGACCTCAGAAGAAATGCCTCCTTCTCTCCAATTTAGATGTGAATCCCTTTGTGTTGAAACTGCACCCCTTAGTCCTGGATTTGCAAGGAGAAATATTCTGCATCTACCGTCTGAAGCTCCCTTCAGAAGTTCGTATTTTAATAAGGTCACCTCATTCTTCCAAAGGCCAAATCTGTCCATTTCATTAATAACCTAACCTTTTCATCCCAGGAATCAACCTGGTGAACCTTCTCTGAACTACCTCCAGTATATGTGTTTAAAAAGACCAACCTCTATATATTACTTCAGGTATGCTCTCAACAATCCATGTCCTGTTGTAACAAGATTTCCCTACTCATACTCCATGCACCTTACAATAAAAGGACACAAATTTTTCCACCAAAAGGGCAAGACCAGATGAATTAATAATGAGAGCCATTAATGAATCAAATGAGGAATTCAGGAGAATATCAACAATGTGGAACTACTATATGGAGTTATTAAGGCAAATAGGTATAATTAGAAGAAGGTTCTTTTTTGAGCAAATGAGTTATGAAAAACAATGGGAGAAGACCCAAGTGTCCCATGAAAATCTGCATGGACAGTTGAATCAAACAGCTTGTTTCAATGCAAGTATAAAATTTCCATTACAATTTATTGTTGTAGGGAATAGGTCTGTCTTTTGGTTTTCTTTTACATCTTCTAATTACTGCACCAGTTATTGACTTTCAAGGGGCACTAATCTTTGAAGAAGCATTGGCAGTCTTAATTACCACATGACAACAATTGAAAATGTTTCCTACACATACAAAACAATCATTATAACAGTTCTGAGGAAGGGTCACCAGACCTGAAACGTTAACTCGGTTTTTTTTTCCTTCACAGATGCTGCCAGACCTGCTGAGCTTTCCCAGCAACCTTGTTCTTGTTCCTGATTTTAAACCAAAAGAACTGCGGATGTTGTCACTTTTTTTTTTCTTTCATTAGATTTCATTATTTTCTGTCTAGCCTAACATTTATTACCCTTAAGATGGTGGTAAATTGTCTTCACGAAGCACTGTGGTGGCATGGGAATTACAGGATTTTGACTCAGCAATGAAAAATGACAGTTTACATCATGATGCTGTGTAGCTTGGCTTGTTACTTGCAGTGAGGGCTGATCCATGCACATGTTGCACTTTGTTTATTCAGGTGGTAGAAGTTGCAGATTTTGAAGTTTCTGGCATAGCAGTCTTGGTGAGTTGTTTAATAACTTGAAGACTCGGACTAGTCTTGAAAATGAAGCAATTATACAATAATTAACCTTAACTGGAGACTATACTTTGGAATTTCCAGTCTATATATCTTAAAAAATTGATATACGATTCCTACAATTGGCAACAACTCATGCAAGCATTTAAGTGTCAAAGTGACATGAGTAATGACCTTTAACCCTTGATCAGAGTTTAATTAATTCAAGACCAATCAAATAAAGCTTATTCATTATAGGGTGCCATGATTGGTGAATCTGGGGAGTTCAACCTGTTAATGGCAATGGTCACAAATTGCCAATTCTGAGATCCCACAGGCATTTGTTGTGGAAGATGGAGATTGAGCTGTACCATTGCAAACTCCTGTGTAATTGACTAACAAACCCATTTGCCAGCAGATTGATTGTGCCACTCTATTCACCCTTAAGGTAGTAGGCCTGTTTTAACTGATGCAGTCCACATGGTGGAATGTACTCATATTTAGGCAGTAAATGCAGGACTTACAATTACAGAAAAGCAATACATAGCTCAGACAGGACAGTGTGTGAAGTGAAGGAGATCCTGGAACTAATGGTACTCCCATGTATCTGCTGCCCTGGGTTGTACACTACATGACAGAACATAGAAGCACAGCAATTTACCAGTCACCTCCAAGCCACATGCCATCCTTATCTAGAACCACATTGCTATTTATGCACTGTCACTACCAAAAATCCTTAATGACTTGTCATCAGTATCCTCTCATGTGGCACAGTGGTACTGCCCCTACCTCTAAGCTAGGAAGTCCAGCCTCAAGTCCCACCAGCTCTAGAGTCAGAGATATACAGCACGGAAACAGAACCTTTGGTCCAACTGGTCTATGCCAACCAGATATCCTAAACTAATCTAGTCCCATCTGCCAGCCTTTAGCCCATATCCCTCTAAATCCTTCCTATTTGTATACCCATCCAGAGGCCTTTTAAATGTAATCATACCAGCCCCCACCACTTCCTCTGGCAGCTCATTCCATACACACATGACTCTCCGCATGAAAATTTTGCCCCTTAGAAATAAAGGGGACCTTGCTCTTCTCATCTTAAACCTATGCTCTCTATTTTTGGACACTGTGCAAGTCCATCCCTAAACAGGTTGAGTAGGAAAATATCTATCCTAATGAAGGCTTGCAGAGACGTCCTGACTCAGATGATTAGCCTTCAACAAATCATTCTTCACCCTTGATGACCTTAATACTTCCTTCAAGTTATTTTCAACATGCAAAATTACTGATTACCTGTGCTCTCAGCTGATCAAAAAGCAGGATTCCTTGTGTGTGCTGTCGTTATTCTAGCCCTTTCAGAATATGCCAGGCTACTTCAATATATGGTGTTAAATTGAACTCATCATGGTTCAGATTGGATAGTGTATTTTTTTTTTCTCCCCTTCGGACAAGACAATCTATCAGATCACTCCCCTCCCAACTTTCTCTCCAGATGGCTACTTTTCATTTCCACTCTTTAAAGAAATAATTCAATTCTCAAACTGAAGGTATTCCATTTAAATTCTCTAGCTTACAGAACAATGTTACTAGACTAGCAAGCAAGCTAATGGTTAATAAAAAAAGAATCTAAACTTCAGCTAACGAGAAGGCTCATTACTACCAAAAAAAGAGGCATTTCAATACTATCTTTTACATATTCCTTTGAATACATTTACTTTAAAAAAAACACATGGTATTTAAAATGATCAAATTTGTGTGCCTTTCACTTGTCAGCATCACTGCTCCCTCTGCTGGCGAAAAAATATTGTTGCTTTGCACTGTGAAAGAATTAATTATTTCTTGTCTTTCCTCTGCTTGTAGTGTGGATATTTAACTTCATTGGCCAGGACAATAAGTTCAGTCTGACTAGAGCTGTTCCCATGGCATGGAGGAAAAAAAATGGATTAATCCGAATGCAGTCACTCATGACAATACATCATACAAGTTTGAATGAATTAACCCCTCTGAACACACTTCCATTAAAAATGTATAACGCATTGACAACCACAATTTAGCCATTCCAAAGCCCTGTGACATCAACGTACAAAACAAAACAGCAATAATTCTAGGTACCTTATTTGTAAGTGTAAATGAAATAGTAAAATTGGTATCAAGACAGTTTCTGATGAGGGTCTTCTACTCTTCCCCAGTGGAAAATATAGCTACAGTGTATTAACTACATTTGAATGGCAGACAGGACATGCAAGTGAACGACGTAAATGTTGGAAAGTGTGATAGAAATAAATGCTCCATCAGATAAACAGGAATTTAGTTATCCAAATTTTGACATTGATCTTTATCATTTCTTGAATCTATAAAGATGACTAGCTAAGTGAGCATCACATCTTCCGAGTATTCTGGAGATGTGGCAGCCACACAACTAGGCATTTAGAGAAGAATAAACTGGGACAACTCACTTCAGTTGGTCACTAAGTGGTAACTGCACTCAGTCGGACCAACCAGAGAGACCACCAAACATTTAGGATATATTCACCTGCAATATTTAGGGCATTTTTCAAAATAAAAAAAGACAACTAATCATTGAATTTTTTTTATTTGACTTTTTTAGCTGACTTACCAATCACTACCAAAGACAGATTTGATAAGGAAAACCTTTACTCTTAAGATGGGAAGAAAATTAGGTCCAAATCAAGTTAATAATCAAGTGAGAGGGGATAGCAAACCTGACCAAATACTCCAAACTGCAAAGGTTTAAATAGTGTGACTTTAAAAATACACTCAATAATTCACAATGTATTATTTGTGAAGGTAGCAGACATATTGGCAAGGCATGTACCGATATCAAATAATTGGATAATAAAAGTCTTTAATCATGTCTACATCATACAGCAAGGCTACTTTATCCATATTAGCTGATAAGATTTGAAGAGAGACGTAGGCTGGTGTGTATTTCCTTTTCACATTACAGCTGCACTAGATGCTAACTGTGTTCTGTTTACTATCAAAGTCGCCATAGCTTATTTAAGAAAACTGGGCAATCTTGAAAATTCAAGGTAGGCAGCTGTCATGTTTAGACTATCAAGTGAAATGTTGACAGAGTAAAGGCAAGGCTTTGACATGCAACAGATGTTTCATTTAGCAGGCTTCTATTATTTTAGCTGCATGATCGACTTGTATTAAATTTGCTGTACTAAAATAGGTACATGCGTACAGTTTAACAAATGTCAATTTTACTGGTTACTTTCAAAAAATTTAAAGAGCTTGCCACGAAGTTACTGTTATTCAGATTCAAAAGAATTCAGCTAGTTTGCCTTGGTACATTGGACATGAAGGTAAATTTAGCGGCGAACAGTAGTCCAGCCTTCTTCATCAATGACATTTTTGATACGACGAGGTGCCTCTTTGTCCTTGTCAGTTCTCCAAGTTGATTTTTCTTGGTCACTGTCCTTAAGTGGTGGACCTTTCATGGCAGTATCCTGTGCCTCTTGGTTAGCTTGGCTTTCACCATGGCGATCTTCACCACCACGTCGCCAGGTACCTGTGAACCAAAATTTAATATTACACTGATGATTAGGAGATTTGAAAATTAACTTGCAACAGAATAAGATTGTAACTGAAGCGCAGACTTATTAGCTAGTCAAGAATCTATATTAAAGAAAGTCTAACTTCTGCAACAAAAAAGCCCAGAAAATACTGCAGCTGCACCCTCCCTCAGACACAAAAGGAGCTTACACCTCAAACAATTTCTACAGAATTTAATTTTCCTAATACCAAAATGCCTCAACATCATGATCATACACTTGGACAGTCATGTGAAATCATATTCATGTATTATCCCACTCTAATCCATTTTATTTCCACCCCCCCACGCCACATTTCTTGCTATAATAAATCCAATGGTCAGTGCTCCTTGATGCAGCTATTTTCCATACTGAGTGCTTTAATTAAGTACTTTTTCTTAGGGACTCAATAATCTAACATTTTGTATGGCTTGATTCAGTTTGCATTCCCTGAAATATTTAAACTTAATTTTAACACCTAACCATTACTACTTTCCCCTCAGTATGCTTTGTAGGGTACACAGGACAGACTTGGTATTTTACACTGAATTCTTGAAAATACAAAAGCAAGTTCTCCCCTCCACATATCAGCGACTTGAAAAGTTGTGTGGGAAAGTAGTCTTACACAATTTTCTCTTCGCACTGCTTGAATGTTATTTGCCACATATCTGCCCAAGCCTGAATGTTATCCAGGTCTTGCTGCATATGGGCAGACTTCTTCAGTATTTAGGGAGTTACAAATAGGACTGAACACTATATAACAATGGACATCTGAAAAGGGAACAGCACTGAAAAAGCAGATGATGGTTTGGTAGGGGATATCAAAATCTGACTGAAAAATCAAATTCAAAGTTTAAAAAGACCAATAGTATGACTTACCTTTAAGCTTGAAGTTAGTGTTATTCCACACATTTAAAGTTCACGCACTACTCTATACAATTGGATCATTTTACATCACACCTACTCAATTTGTCTATCGTGTCTGTAATGTCTCTTGAAGAACTCTTCAGGTTCCTTAAAACCTCTAAAGTTGGCAGCTAACAAAGTTAGGCTTTACAGAAACAAAATACTGAAGATGCTGTAAATCTGAGATAAAGACAGAAACTGCTACAAATACTCATGTGAGGCAGCAACTGTGGAGGAAGAAAGTGTTAATTTTTCAGGCTGATGGCCTTTCACCAAATCACTTGAGTTTGATGCAACATATCTGACCGAATGGCATTACATGGGTACCCAAAATTTGGAGAAGTACATATCAGTCTTCAATGTATTTTGCAGCAAACTTGCTGAAAACAGCATAAAACCAAATTCAAAGATGGTCAAACAGATTCTTGCCTATTTTGTTATACAATGGGTTATCTTTGGGGCACACACATACTATTTTTCTAGTTTGGTATTTTAAAATTCCTTTAAACCAAATATGCCTCACACCATGCTTCAAAAACATTAGTTCAGGTGGCAAATTGGATATTCAATTTTTACAGCATTTTCATGGTTATGCCAACAATGGATCTTATGATAAACAGCAGCACTAAGAAAGCCCTCAAAACGAAAACACAGAAATTAATTAATTCTTCTTAAAGAACTCAGTACATTTTAAGCAAAGATTTTGTTTTTACCATCATCTCGATCACTTCGAATAGGTGCAGCACGACGCTCTGGTTCATCTTTACGACTCTTGATGTCTCGACGTTCGCGAAAATCTCTACGATCTCGATCACCATCCCGGTCATCACGTCGTGGAGCTTCTCTCCAGCTAGACTCTTCTGAGCCACCACCACGTCTCCAAGGGCCATCATCTTTGTCTCTGTAAAAAGAGAAAATCCATTATTCAAGTTAATAAAATACAAACAGCTAGCATTCAGATAAAATTGGTTTGCCTTCATCCACAACTTTATGGCTATTTCCATGTAGACTTTTCACTTCAAAGTCAAAATATACAACATGGTGGTCTGAAGAGTCATACTTTTCTGCACCTAGTTAGCATCTTAAATCAGCCTTGATGATTGAACTATTGTCACTTGTTATTAAGATAGCACTGCTCACAACGCAGACTTTCAATTTCACTAACAACTGAGATTCTGACAAGCAAAAAACAAGTAAGTAAAATCTTGCAAATGAACATGAACAGTTCTCTCCTCATAACTCAGCAAGTTTATCAAATAGGTGGAACTGCAGACACTTGACACAGGATTAATCTGGTATCTGTGCTGAGTAAAGTAGCCTCAGCTGGAACAGCAGTAACAACACCATATTTAATCACAGGCCTTGATATTTCCTGTTAAACAGCAGTATGTGAAGATAAGAGTTCCTGGTCCTGATTGCCATTTGTCTAGACAGACATGGTCACAGATGAGGGAAAAACAAAGCCTTTCTGCCCACACAGATAAACAGTCTTTAGAATTTATTGTTAAAGGAATACTTGGGAATGATACCAGAGGGTATTCATTTGTACTTTAGAAAGGAGATAACTTTCAGAAGGAAAAAAGTGGAATATTTCATTTTACCCATCAGTTAAATTCCTGGCCAAAAAACAAAAACATTCTAAATGCTGAGAGGAACAGGGAAGAACAATCAGAATATACACCTTTGCCAAGCAATCAGCATGTGGCATATATCTCATTCTTACTTCAGTAGTTAAAAATGAAAGGAATCCAACAAAACAAGTAATGGAAATTTCATTAACAGAATTATCCAAAAGAAACAAGATTGTTCATAATCCTTGATTTACAAACCTAAATGCAATACGGCGATCACGATCTTGATCTCTATCCAAATCACGATCTCTGTTATCTTCGGAAGATCTAGTGTCTCTGGGTGGGGCCCAGCTTTCTTCACGTGCTTTTTCCCTTTCTCTCCATCCGCCACCTTAGATACAATTACACTTCTGCCATTATTAAGGTGCTCTACTCATAAGGGGCTAAAACCTCCCTTGTCACTGCATTAATCTATAAAGCGCTTCTCATTTAGCAAAACTTCTAACTCATGCTGAAAATTCGTATTGAAACACAATTACATTTGAACATAGTGAAATTGTTTGCACTGACTCCCTTTCCAGAGAATTGTTTCTACATAATGAGCAGGTGCAATGCAATCGCTCAAGAGGCAGGCCCACATTCCCCTACCAAAATCAAATAGGAATTGACAACTCAAAAGAAAAGTTACAAACTAAATGCTTGATAATTTTGGACATTCAAATACAAATTGTACATTTTAAAATATGTACAATAACCCAAATGCCTGTTAAGAGCACATTCAAAAAACTATTGTACCTGGTTTATCAAGTGGTCTCCACGGGCCAGGCCTCGAATCATCCACACGGCGGGGGCCTCGATCATCATCCCGCCAAGACCCCCTGTCATCATCACCTCGCCTGAATAGCGGACCCCGATCATCATCTCCTCTTCTAAACAATGGCTCTCTATCATCATCCCGTCTAATTCGGTCCTCCCCACGGCGGAATGCCGGCCTATCATCATCAAAGCCACGGCTTTCCCCTCGGCGCCACTCGCTAAGAAACATGACCACAAGCCAAAAAGCTATTACAAAAGAAGTTTCATAATAACCTACAAACCACAATTGGCTTTTCTTACAGAGGACGCCGATAACATAAGTAGTGATCAATGAGAAGAGTCTAGGAGAACACAGCAGACTAAGTTTAATTATTAATTAATATAGAAAGGCAAATTGCTGCAATTCAGAAGGATAAAATGAGGTGATTTTACATGGTTGTTTTCCATTACTGAGATCAGTTTTCAATTTCAAATTTCTAGATAAATCCCAGATAAGCTGAACTTAAGATTCCACCAGAAGTTTGAATCCATGCTTCAGATCATACACCAAAATTCCACGCGATCCATGTTGACATGCCAATCAGGGCATTGACTTCCAGTTTTGAAAGTCACTGCTGCACACAGACCTTGAAGGTCTGTGCAGGCAGAAAGAAAATTAGAGGGAATGCTAGCATTATCACTGTCACCATATCCTCAAATTCAGTTATGTGGCAATATTAAGAGCATCTGAAATTGTTTTTAAGAATAAAAAAGGTAGAGAGAGTTAGGAATATGAAAGCTCACGTTGTTAAAAGGTGGCAAAGCACGTTTTCAAATAAAACCAATGCAAGTTACGATGAACTTGTACAAATCACACACTTAGTCTTAAGTGAAGTATTTTCAATTCTAGGCAACATATTAGGTCGGATAAGAAGGCTTTACAGTGTGCAGGATAGAGTTAAGAAGCTGGTTCAATGGATGAGGGACTTGCATTACAAGTGACAAGTTGGAGAAACTGAGGTACTTTTCCTTTATCAAGATTGAAAAAGAGGCTATACGAGAGAGGTTTCACGACAAGATGTCTAATTAGAGTAAAGAGAATTATTCCAGCTGGCAAAGGTCAGGAATAAATGGCACCTTGAAGATAAGACTTGTTAGTCAGCAAGTTGCTATGCCGTAGTGGTATTCAAAGGAGAACTATGCAGGGCTACCAGAAAAGGGCAGGGGAAATCAGGCCAACTAAAATTACGCTGCAGAGTTGGCACAGGCTCAAAAAAAAAAAACAGTAAACTTCACTTTGATTTAGCTTTGTCAACAATTTTATGAACTCAGCAAATTATATTCCAATAATATTGAATCTGCTTCCATGAGATTATACAGAGAAAATTTATTTACAGGGAATAACTGCATACTTTTAAAGAGCCAGCATTGATACATTGGGCTGAAAGGCCTGCCTGTGCTGTGCACTTTACGATCACTGACTTGGTTTTAACCACTATTTAAAATCTAACTACATACGCATCAGTTCCTCCGCGTCTCCATTCAGAATCCCTGTCTATAATACGGGAATCCCTCCAACTATCTCGTTCAGAGTCTCTGTCACTCCAGCGCTGAGATTCCTGCCAAGAGGAGAAATAAGAATCAAGTAAATAACCAATTGCACCCACAAATTCTGGTTTATTATTTCAAAACATCACTGTTTACTTTGTAATTGATCTACTCTTACTGTCCTCTGGGTAATTAGCGATGGGCAACAAACAATGGCCGAGCCAGCGCTGCCCACATCCAAGTTAAATTAAAAAACAGCAATTTACCTCAACTGAACAAATCCCATTGCGTGCAAAAATGATTTCAAAGCAAAATACAAAATACAAATACAAACAGTTGACTTAAATCAGTTTTAATTTTAAAAAATCTTAAAGACTATCCACCTAAAACCCTAGCTCAATGACTAATGCAGTGAAGCTTCCACTAGTTGGGAAAAGAGGAAGAGTTTATCATACTTTCAAATAACGCAGCTTGCAATAGACTGGTAATGAGCACAAACAATTCATCTGACAGCAGCTACAAGGTAAAGCAGATGGCAACATTAAATATGGTTATTAGAATGAATAAAACTACCTTTCTAGTCTTTGATCTTTAAACTGATTAATACTGCATAAACAGCCATTCAATACAATAAACACACCTTACACACACAAAACTTGGATTTTAGTAACATCACTAGAAATAATCTGCATTTCTGACAACTAGCCATAAAAGTAAAGAAAAAACTGGCCAATCAAGCTTACGATAGTTGCTATAGATCATGTGACTGACTCAGTTCTTCAACTCAAATTTCAGTTTTCTACTATCAAAATGGCTTACTATGATCATGCTGCTAGACCTCTTGCCTCCCTTGAAGTAGATTACAGCAAGCAAGTCTCACATCAATAATATTCTTTACTGAAAACTGGAGATGGTGATAAAAGCCCAAGCTACAGCATTTAGTTCTTCCAGAGGTAAACAGTGAAAGTAACCTTTTCAATTCCTGAGTGAGAAGCTTTTACTTCTTACATCAGTACATCTCATCAAAACTATGAATTTCAGACAAAGCTCTGAATCTCTTCCTGCTGAATTGAGCAATTGAATACCTTGCTTTCATGCAGTGATCTATCACGAATGTGAGAAATGCCCATCCTGGACTATCCGATTTCCCTTTTTTGCTGTTATCCCACTGAGAGCAAATCACAATCATCAAGAAATTCTGTTATGCTTCAAATAGCTAAGTAGCATAGAACAAATGCAAAGCTAACAAAAAGAAAAAATTTTAATACCTTCCGGCGAAACTGGTCTTCAGCATATTTCCTTTCTTCTTCTTTACGACGCTCGCGTTCTTCAATTTCCATTTCTCGCTGGCGTCGTTTCCTTTCAGTTTCCTCCAATTTTCTTAGTTTTTCCTGGTATTCACGCTCTTCTGCTTCTCGTTTTTCACGCTCACAGCGCTCCTTTTCTTCACGCTCTAGTAAGAAACTCCAAAAATAAGAATCTTTCTTTGCAGTCATTCACATACTTTTGGTTGTGAAAACTGTACAACTACTAGTTATTCAAACCTTTTTTAAGTTTTTCTTCCTCCAATCTCTGAGCTTCCTCCTCTTTTTGTATGTAGTAGATTCTGCGTCTTTCTTCTTTGCGTTGTTTCTTACGCTCCTCTAAACGCATTTTCCGTTCTGCATTGAGCCTGTCTTGGAAGTTCTTTAGTTTCTCCTTTTCTCGGTACAAAACAGAATGCAACTTAAACACCACCTTTTACCTAGTTCTGCTATATTCAAGTAATAAAACATTCCGCCAAGAAGCAAAAAAATGCTTCAAAATCAGGTGATCATCTTAGATTACATGACCAAGAATACCCTCGTGCTACTGTATTAACAAGTTATTGAATAAATTGCAGACCTCGTAAACAGTACGACGTGAAGCCATAAGCTTTGTTAGGAACAGGTCTTGATCGTCCATCATTCTTGACATTCGATTCTTATGCTCCAGGGCTTTCTCACGCTCAACTTTCATACTGGTAATCTGTAAATAGAAGAACTTTACAAATCAGTTACATGCAAACAGATGTAATTTGCTAAATCAAAGAAAACTTAGACTTAGGTTACATCAAGAAATGTAAAAGAGCGAAGTGTCCAAAAACGATGCATGAAGCAAAAATCAAAAGAACAAACCCAAAAAGCATATGCATACAAATTACATCACTCACCCTTTCCTCCTCTTGAAGTTCCCACAATTCCATATCCTTTATTCGCTGTTCTTCAAATGCTTTTTTGAGTAAAGGTATTTCTTCCAATCGCTTGGCTCTTTCAAAGAAGTCAATCTGCCAACAAAAAAAAATTAAGTCACAAGAGTTATCAATAGCTTTAAAATCTGTCATTCACTTGAGAAATTAGGAAAATTTTAAATCTTGTGTAGCAAGCAGCTTACGTGATAACATTGAGTGCTACAGTCATCAGCTGGTCAAAATTACCTGGAATATTTGTGCTGTAAATATTTGAAGATTGCACTGACTAAAGCTATGGCTCACCAAATCTGCGTGGTCAAAAAACAAACACCTAACTATTTTAATCCCGTTTTCCAGCACTTGGCACGTAGATTTGTGCATTTTGGCATTGCAAGTGTCCATTTAAATAAAAGCATCAAATTCCAGATTCCCACCACCTTCTAGGTGAAAACATTTTTCTCCGCATCACCTCGAAATTTTCTGCCCTTTATCTTAAATCTCTGTTCCCAGTCACTGATCCTTCCATCAAGGGGAACGTTTCTTCATGTCTACCCTCTTCAATTTTATACATCTTAATCATGTTGGTATTGGCTTCATTATTGCACTCCTAATGATCGTCTGTCATGGCAAATCTGAAGAATTTATTTCAGGTGAATGATGATTTAATTGGTCAAATTTATTAAGAATTGCTGGTTTTAAGTCTATTAAAAGAACCATTCAGCAGATTGAAATGATTTTGGTTAAAATATAAACCATTACATATGAATAAACAAAAGGAAATGAAGAACAAACTTCTTAATACAACTTAATGTCAGACCACATTCTCAATGACTACCTCAAAAGTATGAGTAAAATCATTAATCTGTATATTCCATTTATCCACCAGCAGCCCGACAGGCTGGAAAGACACTGGCCATTGCCAACACTGCTTAAAATAGTCACTTTACTGACCCATTCTATGCCCCTCTTTCCAAAATAGGAGGACATTTAGCTTGAACTCTGGGCTTCACTATAATCTGGTAAAGAACATATGGATGATTGAGGACTCATTATCAATTCATTTTGCAATGTAAAATACCATCCTCGATCACTGAAAGAAACCTTTGCTAGTATTATGGTTATGAAGAAGACTCTAACACAGCCAGCTTGCCCTCATGACACCTTAGGTTAGTTATCACATCAGTATCAGCACTCTTACTTCATCTTACCAAACACGTTACCGTTTTCTTTTATCATAAAATAACTTTATTTGCTCACCTTCTTTTCCTGATTTTTCAGACGTTCTTGAAGTTCCTTCTTTTCTTTCTCCAACTGCTCAACCTGCTTAGCCATGATAAAATCTGGATCCAGTTCTTCAAGGTTCTGAAAAATTCAGGGGATCGCAATCAGATATGGCACACAAGCATACTGAACAAAATAGTTATTGACACATCAATATTGCCTATAATACAGGAATCTGAAGAAACAGACAGATGTTGGTGGGAAAAAAAGGGATTAAAACGAACATGTATGCATTGTGCATTTCCAAATTGGACAAAGCCTTTATTCAGCAATTAGCAATTCATGTTCACTTCCTGGATTGAAGAAATGTCTCAGAATAGCAGGGCTATTGAATATGACCTAATAAAAGGATTTAAAATTGTCAAAGTCTTTGAGAGCAGATAAACCTGTTTCAACATGTAGAACAGCAGAACTAGATGTCATCAATACAATATAATAAGCAAGAAATCAATTGTGGAATTCTTAAGAAACTTTATAAGAGAGGTAAGAACATGGAACCCCTCATTGCAGGGGATAATTAAGGGCAAACAGATCATTATGCTGACTGGGTCATTTGGAGGACAGCAGGAGGCTTTAATGGGCATTAAACTGGCACGGAGCGTGAGTTGAAATGTCTTTTTCTCTATGTAAATTCATGTAATATTATGTCCCCAAAAAGAAAGCATTTTGGATTGGAATTAAAAAGATGTTTAAGAAAGCTACTGAATTGTATTTTACCTCAATGTCAATATCTCGAAATGCTTTAGCTCCCAGTTCAGTTTTTTTAATCTGCTCCAGGCGTTCTCGCACATGTTTCCGTTTGATGTTTTCATGCTCCTGCATAAGACGTTCTTTTTCTCTCTCTTGTGCCTCTTGACGTAAACGCTCTTCTTCAGCCTTGCGAACTTTCTGAAGTTCCGCCTCTCGCAACTCCATTTCCTCTTTTTCCCGCTGAACATTCAGGCTTTCCAGGCGTTCCTTTCTCTCCTCAATAGTCTGGCGACGGGCAAGGATCCGCTGATGTTCCTTTCTAGCATTCTTCAAATAAGCACTGACAGCTTGCTGGTGTTGCTCTTCCTTTTCATGCTAAAAAGGAAACATGGGCAGGAAAAAAATTCATGAATGCAAACTTCTAACAAACCCAAAACTCCTAATATTTAAATTCATAATGTCTCACAGCTTACTTGATTGAGACAATCAGCAATGGAGCCAGATGAACCAGGACCTTCCTGGTTTCTTCAGTTCATGTGGAGATACCAGATCCTGGCTTAACTGTCAGAACTTAACTAGACAGATCTAGTTAGAAATCACACAACACCACGTTACAGTCCAACAGCTCTGAAAGCTTGTGATTTCAAATAAACCTGTTGGACACCTGGTGTCATGTGACTTCTGACATTGTCCACCCAGTGCAACACTGGCACCTCCACATCAGACAGATCTAATGATATTGGATATTCTTTAAGACATCAGCGAGCATGTGGCATTTATAACAACTTATTTATTTAAAACTCTGCAAAACAAATAACGAGAAGCCCAACAATGCTGCATCATCTACGTGTAGGATGCACAATCCATTTTTGTTAGCTTGGAAAACTAACTTGTTTCCATCCTGTAATAAAGTGTAGCAACACTATTTCCAAGTCTGTGAAGTTTAACATAGAAAAACAGCGTGCTTGCATACCAAGACGGTGCTACTTGCCCACTTAGGATCACTGGACCTGTTAGGGCATCAGTTTGCAAGATTACTTAGTCAAAAAAAAAACTTACAAGCAAATGTGTTGGCTTGACAACTTGGATAGCCTTCGCTAATGCAGCAGACATAGCAGTCAACTGACTTCTGATCTGCTCTGAAGGCATTGGCTGCAAGTAAGGACCCACTGGCGAATCTTCTCGTGGAGAATAGTTGAGATCTGAGCCAAAACTTAAAGTACGAGAAGAATGATTGATGCGAACCTAAAACAAGAATAGGGAGTTAACAATAAACATTTTAGTCAGAATCATACAGCATGGAAACAGACCCTTTGGTCCAACTCATCAATGCTGACCAGGTTTCCTAAATTGAACTAGTCCAATTTGCCTGCATTTGGCCCACATTCTTCCAAACCTTTCCTTTCATATACCTGTCCAAATATCTCTTAAATGTTGCAATTTCTCCCATTGAAAATGATAATTTTTTGTAGCTTTGATTGAGTTAACTTTAATCATATTTGAACCATTCCGGAACCAAGAAATAACTCACTTTAAAGTTACTTGAATATATCCGAGTGTACTATAAAAATCCAGTTTTGGTTGGAACAGAATTAAATCCACCCTGAAGACTATTAGAAAATTTGTTTAAAGGACAATTTTACTAGAAATTACTGCCTGCACTCAAAATATATTTTAATAATGGTATGGTCCCCAATAATCTATTAACAAATTTGAAAAACAGCACAGAACTTACATGGTCGCTCTCCCAATCTCCAACTGTGCCTCCTAGCGTGAAAGTCAGTGGAACGCATGGATGACTACAGGTTGCAGTACAGCCAGACAAAAATTTTTCTCCAATGTGCTCAACTAACCTCTTGGGAATTAAATATTGCCCACAAGTACCCATTCAAGATTTGTGAATGCAAGTTAGATTTTTGATCTTATATTAGAGGGAGAGAATGAACTACATGGCAACAGATCTCTACAAACTTCTGGTAACGTTTACTACGTTATCAGCAATGTAAATTCACTCAAAAATGTGTCTATCAGAGCTTCTATCAAGTCTCTTGAAGGAGTAATGACGAATGATGAGAAATACCTGCTTCTAATGCAAACCAATATTTAAGACTGATTTATTAAACTTCACTCCAGTAATTAAGCTCAGTATTTGAAATCCAACAGAACTAACACACCACTGCATAGGTCAATATGCAATTGTTGGTATTACCTGCAAATCACAGTGTCTGGCAGCATCAACAATGGCACGTTCCAGCTGAAAGGCATCAACAAATGGAACCAAGGAAGCCAAACGAGTAAACTCTATACTTTGATAAATCTGAGCTACCTGTGGAAACAAAAATGGTACCTTATCAATCAGGCATTGAATCAAAAAGGTTTGCACACCTTCCAGAGTCCCTGCGCAGCTTTATGGCTTTGTACTCGAGGCTGCTGCATTGATTTTTTTGCTTTAAAATCAAAACTAATTCAGGCCTACTAAAATTGGTTTAAATGCATTTTAGCCTATGCCATTACAATTTGCCTTCATCCTCAAAAGATAGAACAAATTTGAATTGTTGTTGAAATAATTTTAGGATGCAAGTTTGATCACTTGCATAATTGGCTAGCACCAGTGTCTCAGAGAAAACATTAAAAGAATGAACCAAAACTTTGTAACAATTCGGCACCAAGTAATTTCAAGTATTCACTCTCCTCCATACCACGGTTACAATTTGCACCATCTACAAGATGCACATTACGCAACTGCAAAGCACTTTCTAAACTCCAATCTCTTGTCTGCAAAGACAACAGCTGGAAATGCATGGGAGTACCACGCCTCCAAGTTCTCATTTAACAAGACTATCCGCATTTGGAAATATACATCTGTTCCTTCATCAGTGGTCCAATTTCTGGAACTCCCTAGACGTCATCATGGGAGCACCTATATCAAGTTTGGGGAGGATACAGCCTGGTGGTATTGTCACTGGATAAGGAATTCACAGGTACAGGCTAACGTTCTGGTGAAAACTGAAAGAACTGCGGATGTTGTAAATCAGGAACAAAAACAGAAAGTTGCTGGAAAAGCTCAGCAGGTCTGGCAGCATCTGTGAAGAAAACAATCGGAGTTAACACTTCCGGTCCGGTGACCCTTCCTCAGAACTGACAGTCGCTAGGAAAATGTCAGTTTGTATGCAGAAGATTTTTTTGGAGGGGTGGGGGTAAAGGAATAAATGTTAGGTGGGAATAGAGCACAAAAAAAAAGAGAGACAACAGTTGGATAGACAAAGGATGGGATAAAAATCTGGCTAGGAGAGTGAATAGCTGTTAATGGTGACTGTTAGGTGGCTAACAATAGGTAGTGTGTACTGGCAGTAGTGGCTATTTGCTCAACCGAGTTGCTAAATTTTAGTTTTACTGTAGCACACCAAAGTATCTGGGCTAGGCGATGGCCTAGTGGTGTTATCATTAGACTATTAATCCAGAGACGCAGGTAATGTTCCGAGGCCCTGGGTTCAAATCCCACTGTGGCAGATGGTGGAATCTGAATTCAACAATAATCTGGAATCAAGAGTCTAATGATGACCATGAAACCATTGCCGATTGTCAGGAAATAAAACCCATCTGGTTCACTAATGTCCTTTAGAGAAGGAAATCTACCATCCTTAACTGGTCTGGCCTACATGTGACTTGACCCACAGTAATGTGGTTGACTCTAAACTGCCCTCTGGGCAATTAGGGATGGACAATAAATGCTGGTCCAGCCAGCCGATGCCCACATCCCATGAATGAATTTAAGAAACCTGCTACATACAGAAACAGGACCTTAAAATTGCTAATAATATTTCACAAGAGATTATAAAATATTTCAACTCTGAAGGCATCATAGTCAGTGCTTGGTACGGTTTGCAAGATGGCCATGAAACACAAAGTACAGGATAAGTATCAAATTTAATTCTGAATTTATAAGTGACAGATTGAAATTTTATCCCCTGGATATGACTCTTGGAAACTGCAATATTCTAAAACTGCAGCACATGTGATTGTTTGATATTCCAGAACAGATGAGAATCAGTGCAACATTAAAATGCACACAGGGTTCTTGATAGAGGCGCTTAAGGCAAACGGGCCAGAAACATTTTGCTGTCCAATATACCAAAAGAATAATATTTTAAAAATGCCAGCAAGACATTGTCACACATTAGATATATCTGAACGTCAAATCTTTGTATTAAGCTTCCCAATGTAAGAGTGAACTTTCTAAACTGTTCTACGAAAATATTTACACACCTGTTGAAGGAGCCGAAGGATGGTATTATTCTGCAAATGAGGTACATAATGCTGAAGGTCAGGTTCTTTTTCTGACTGGTCTCGGACCCAGTTGAGGACCTTGAGTAGAATAAGAAAGACAAAGTTATGGCTTACATCATGTAGACCTGAATATTTATCTGGAGTATATTCATGTTTGACTGGTGATACATGATAGTGATTGAATCAGAAAAACATGATTTAATGCAATTGCCAGAAATAAAGAGCTGACCAATTCTTAACATACTGATCAAGGAAATTTCTGAATGACAATTTTTTTTTTTTTTTTTTTTAGTGCTTTTATGGAATGTGGAAATCACTGGCTAGGCCAGTATTTATTGGCTACCTCCAGTGGAGAGCAACCCATTTAGTATAGATACGCCAACGGTGCAGCTACTAAGCGAATTCCAGGGTTTTGACCTGGTGACCGTGAAAGAACAACTACAGAGTCCCAAGGCAGAATTGTACGCAATTTGGAGGGTAATGGGCAGGTGATGATCCCATGTACCTACTGTCTTTGTCTATCTAGGTGAGAGAGATCATAGGTTTGAAAGAGGCGGTTGTTGGAACCTTGGGAAGCAGCTGCGAATCATGGTAGTGCTGAATTTTTTTTGGGGGGGGAAGCCGGCAAGGGTGGGGAAGACAGACAGACAGCAGTCAAGAAGGCTGCTTTCAAGCCTCAAACATTGTTGGAGCTACACTCATTCAGACACTCTGTCCTAGGCATCTCATAGATGATGGACAGGCTCTCAGGAGTAAGGAAAGTTACCCACAGATTTCCCATCCTCTGACCTACCCTTGTAACCACAAGAATTATGTACCTGGTCCAGTTCAACTTTTAGTTAATGGTTGCCTCCAAAATGCTTAAAGCAGGAGTTACCATTGAATGTCACAGGGAGACAGTCAATTCTCTTGTTGGAGATGGTCTTTCTTGGCACTTTCACAGCACGTTACTTACCAGTTGTCAGTAGAAGCCAAAATGTTAATCTAAGGTCTTGATGCATTTGGAGATGGACGTGGACTACTTCAGTGTTTAAGGAGTGAGAATAGTACAGAACATTGATGCTTGCCCACCCGCACTTCTGGCCTTTTAATGGAAGGACCGATGAAGCAGATGAAGATGGCAATTACGATCACTACAAAAGTCCTACAGCAATTACCTAGGACTGAGATGAAACCCTCTAACAACTGCCATCTTCTTTAGTGCTGGTATCACTCCAGACTTGAGAGTTTCCCACAACTATCCCCCAAGTCCAACTCTCATTGACTTCAGTGTTGTGAAGATTCCTTGATTCCATACTCAAAACTAACGTGACGTTAAGGGTAGTCACTCACATCTGGAGTTCAACTCTTTTGCCTTGTTCAAGGATCCTGACATTTTGCAGGATAGGAAATCACCTTAGTGTAGTGAAGCGTATGGAGGGGACTGGCAGCTATGGTTACATGGTTAGACCATCTGCTAATTAACCTCCAATTTTGCTCTGGCACATTAGAAATATCATTGATCTCACAAGAATACAGAGCATGACAATGAAAAAGGTGCTGAAAGCCATATTACGGCAAATGGCAGTACAAAACTAGGAAGACAGGATTTGGTTTTTCAGCCCTTCAAATATTCAGTTTGACATTTTATGAAAATCAAAGTCCATTTTCCCATATTCAGCTATGTTCTTTGACAGCCTTGCCAAACACATATTGACTGCCATTTTGAAAATTACAATCAACCCAAAGTAAGAATGCTTTCCAATTTTCACACCCAAAATTCAACTTTACACCTCATGCTGATTTCATCCAAGGTAGTTTATGCCCATCCACCCAAAAGCATTCCTTTAACCATGCAACTTTGCTTAGATGAGCTCTAACTTTTCAAACCCTGGGAGAGCTTTTAATTGGATCGTAATATTAATAATTTATCTTGTATATTCAACTGGTCCCTTCCAAACAGTTCAGAATACAGAACATAGAAACTTAATGTTATTTGTTACCTTAGTAACGCGTCCACAAAGTTTCAGCGGGTGAAATTCTACTTCTAACCAATTATACACCCCCTTCACTTCAGCTGCAGCATACTGCATCACATTGAAACGAACCTTTTGGTAAAAAGAAAAGTTGGTTCAGAATGGAGACTGATATTAATCAAAGCATCAATAAACAGTTAAAAAGATTTACTCTCAAAGTCCATTAATAGAAGAATAATTAATGGAATGTTCAACTTTGATAAGAGCCTGAGTAATTTCTTTAATTCATAGAAAAATTTCTCAATTGCACTCTACTGTGCCACACCACACAAAGACAGAAGAAGGATTCCAATATACCAAGAACGTAAAAGATATCTCCTGTGATAACCAAGCCCCAATCTGATTTTGATCCAGTCACAAATTTTGTTAGTCGTCTCAAAACATGTCAATTCCTAAAATAGTTCAATAGATCCCTGCTAAATACAGGACCACCAGTGCCTCAATATTCCTTGCTCACATTTCATCCTAAAATTTAAATTGGATTAAGCAAAAGTGATCATCAGGATTCTGGTCAAATAAAAACAAAGTTATGGGTTTAATTCCATTTAAAAGGGTGGTCAGGAGGAGCAAATGGAACAAATTGAAGGGTCAGAGGGCAAGGGAGAGCAGAAATCACAGGTTATATATCGCAGGGCAAAATGGAAGGTAATAGCTGCAGACATAGGCTCAGAATTGCTGTAAGTGGCAGAATATAGGACTGCTCTGCTGGGGAGAAGTAAGGCAGGGCAATAAAATGGTTAACAGAATCGATAGTTTGAAGTTGTTGAACTCAGTCAAGTCCAGAAGGATACAAATTGTCCAAATGAAAAATTAGCTGCTGTTCGTCACTGGACTGGAGCAGCAGCCCACGACTGAAATGAAAGCAAAATGGTGTATTTAAATGGCAAGCAACCATTCTCAATTCCAAACTAACAGTCATAGTGGTCTCAAGAAGTTAACTATTTCCCTTTCACACTCCACAGATGCTGCTAGACCCTACTGAGTTTTTTTATTCTAGATCTCAAGCATCTGTAGTCAGTTGCTTGCATTTTGGAGGTCAACAGATATTTGATACAAATTGACGGGAGAGATCATCATGCATCTCCACTGCAGTCAATTAAATAGAAAAAGTTTGAGATCTACAAGAACTCTACCGGTGCTAAATGAGAAACAATTAAAATAAAAGTTGTAATTCAATCTTTGAACAAGATTACTGTAAAGTTAATAAATTAACTATTACTTCACAAGTGACTTCATCACTTGAATTTTAATATAGCTTGCTCGCTCCATCTTACTAACAGCTCAAATTCCTTATCTGAATCACTTTGTCTGAAGGGGACTGGCAGCGTGGTACATCTGAATCAACCAAGCTGCTAATTAACCTTCATCTCTTATTCTGGCACATAAGAAATCTCTCAAATCTCACTAAGGCTGAGAATGAGATAGTGAAGCGTGCCTTATTAGAGGCAACTCTGTCCATTAGTATTTTTTTCAGCTCAAGTGAAAATACTTCACAAAAAAAAATGAATTTCTACATTACACAAGTCTTTTGTAAAGTCTTTCCAATTCCCAATCCTTACTTATTAAAAAAGAACTTGCTTTCTATAATAGAATTATACTGTGGTTATGGCAGTGTAATGGTTATTTTTAGTGGATTAGTAATGCATAGACTGCAAGCTTAAATCCTTTCATAGTGGTTATTGGATTTAACTATTGTTTGAAAGACCTGAAGTGCTGACGAAAAGATATTGAATAGTCTCAAAACCAGAACTGTTTCACTGAATTCCTTTCAGGAGGGAAACCTATAATAATTTTTACTTCATCTGGCCTAGGCAATACCAATGCAACAATAAATGTTAGGATAGGACACTGGCAGGGCTAAGAACGACTGAAAAAGGTATTACAAAATTAAAGCTTGATACACAAACTTGGGCACACTAAAAATCATACCATGTCATTAATTAAACTTTGTCGAGTTGGAGGTGCCTGTAATCCCAACAGTGTAGCTAATCGTCGGTGCTTCTCAACAATAATACCATCCATGTCGAGCAATCGGGCAATGTCTGTCCTTTCAGGAGTTATAGGAATTGACAGAGTAGCTAAAAGCACTCTGGTAGACATCCTGTAAAGGTAGAAAATCAAAATGATACGTGAAACCAGAAATTTGTTGCAACAAAAAGATGCAGCCAAGATGAGTGCTGACCAATTAACTGCTAGCAGTTTAATTATCCTGACTACAAATTTGCTGAAACTGAATGTCGTGATTACGAAATGCAACAGCATTAACTTATGCACATTTGCGACACAGTTAACATCCTAAAAACAGGATTGACTTTGAGCGTACTCAATGCACTACTTATGGTTTTTCACAGACAAGCTTTTGGAAAGTAAATAGCAAGTTGATTATACTGTTAAAAAAGGGAGAATCAAATCTCACCTATTAGTGCAAGTCAAATTGGAAACTTTTAAGAGTTGCTATTGTAATCCAATTTAGCCATAAATTGCACATTATATCCATTTGCATCTGTATTGCTTGCTGAAGCCCAAGAATTTCTCAACAGCAGATTTTAGGCAATAAGTAACGTCAAACTTATTGTAGAAAGTTTTAAAATTCACTTTTTTCTCCCCAAACAGGGAAAAAAATGGTCTTGACATTTAAATGCTCCACCCAATCGCTCATTTTCATCCTTCTAGATTATTCTGATGAAGCTCAAAGTAAAAGGAATGGTATCTTATTTTACAAGCACTATTACAGCCTTCCAGAATTGTTCTATTTCAGACTGTAACACATACTCATTTCAACCACAGCTCTTATTCTGTTGTTGATGGTTCTTCTTTCCCTGGATTCATCTTTTGTTCCATTCCTTGTCCTATTACCATCTCCTTTTACCTTTTAATGCCTCCCATCTTAAAGACTTCCATTTTCCACTCACTTAAAACTTGTAATATCTCTAACCATTTTTAGTTTTGACAAACGCAATTGACCTGAAGCATTAATTTAGAGGGGCATGGACATTTAGCCGCTCATCTTTATTTTTGATTTCCAGCTTCTACAATATTTGGCTGTGTTATTAAGGTCAACTTTCTGCAATTATATTGATATAAATTTTGCCTAAAAGCCGAAAACCGGAAGCCTTATCTGTAACAGCAATCCACTCAAAGTAGTTGTGCCCGACCTGGACTCGGGCACCGTATCATTCATCTCTTCAAACCATGAGAAGCAACTACAAACAGATCTTGAGGTTGAGTTCACACCCTTATGGGGAAGCTGGGATCTCCTACCTGTCATTCAATGCATGTGGATAACAGTATACCAACTACAATTCACAACATCATTTTAGTACTGCTTCCACTTTTCAGCATGGTGTCTTCTCCCCAGTATTTCATTATAACCTAGAGCACTTGTATTCATTACTGTTTATGCAATTAAGTATTTCTGCACCTCTGCATCTCCTCTGGTGAAAGATTTTTTCTCATCTCTCTGGACAAATGGTATAGTCGGTGAAGAGTGGATGCATGAAACAGAGCATTTCCCGATTTCCAGAATACTGTGGAAACTTTATTATAGTAGTTAGCCATCAGCTGGGGTTTGGGGGGCTTCTTGGATAAAGAAAATAGCCCATGAATATCTTCTACTGCCTTGAAAGCTTCCTATTTAAAAAAAAACAAACATTTTATAAACAAACATTATAATAGAATCCTCAATCCAGAAATTTATCAGATGCTTTAACTCCCACATAGTTGAAGATTTTTGAGCAAGTTGCTTCAGTTACAAAATAGTTACGTGTTCAATTAGGAAGAGACGATTTCAGCCCACACCTCAACCACCAGGACACAATCTTGTTGCTGGAACTAGAAATTAGATCCAATGTTGGCTCAATTTGTTACTGATACGTTCTGCAAACTAAAGGTCAGCAGTAAATAAAATGTGTAACATGACTGATAAATCAGACTAATATTTGCCAGCAGTTTGTTGCTTGGCATAAGAACATGCTGTGGTCAGTTGGTGCCAACATAAAATAATGAGTACTTCTAGATTATAAGCACGCACACTGGTATGTGCAGATATTGCCACTCCGACTGACTAACTTATTAGTAGTTTTATATGAAACAAGGTTCTGGAATTCTGAAAATCCAGAATAAAGCAAACTGCTAACCTTTTTACACAGCTATCCAATCATTTCACCAAAATATTAAGTAAAAGAACCAAGCTCTGTCCATCGTTCTGTGCATGCACCTTCCCTCCTCCCCATGACAGAAACAGAAGTGATATGGGGAGTCCAGATAAAAACCCAACGATCCCAGGAAGTGGCTCTGTCATTCAACCTGATTACTTAAAACACTAGAATACAATTCTCTCCTAAGTGCTTTGAGTTTAGTCCTACATGACTAATGGTAAGGATCTAATGCAAACAAGACAATATAGAGTGAACTCTGATCCAAGTCATGCAGATACAAGTTAAAACAAAAAGAAGTTTTAAAGAGATATGTCCCTTGCTACATGCTACTCAATTACCTAGAAAGTAATCTGTGGGCTTTTATGTTCATATTGTAATGCTTCATCAATGCAAATGACAGTTAAATAGGGCGTGAGCCTACCTATACACGTGACCAAAAGTTCTGACTCCCTTTATTACAGGACACTACACAGTAACAGAAATCTGAATCCTTAAATGGTATTGATTATACTCTGAGCAACCCCAAAGTTTACAACTATGCTTTATGAAGCCAACTCGTTATGGATGATTTGATGGTATTTAATGAAGTTCAAATACTACCTGCCAAAGTTCCATACTAATTGCACTATCAAGTTGTACAAGGCGAGTCTCCAAGTGCATGGACTGGCTATCAGGATTATTAAGGTTGATTGCTGTGCTTTGGTTGTGGTGACGCTGGATCTGTCCCAAGTGTGTACGCAGGTTGTCACATAATTTGCGGAATTCTGCTTTTCGGGTGTACTGCAAGCAGAACTTAAAAGCTGAAAAGAAAATGTGATAACGTAGAAGCAATTCCAAAAACAAATTTCCAGCACTAAATGCAACAGGTTACAAATTTCAGCAATGGGCTGAAAATAGTAAACATTAGCATTCTGAATTGCCCACAGATGAGTATGGGAACAGATGCTCTTGTACATTCATCCAATTGTGGAACATTTCAGAGATTCAAGATTAAAACATATTTGCAAACACCTTGGCATATAAAATGGTTTTGTAATAAATGGGATTAGGCAGAGCAGATAAAACGTTAGTCTAAATTCTTCAGCTGTTTAATGAGATGATATTAGCATAACATCAAATATGAAGAGACAACAATCAGGAGAAACTTGTACAATATGTTAAGTCTGTGGAAAACAACAGAAATTTGTAATTAGAGATGACATCATTAAATACGTATTTGAACAATTAAGGGAAGGGACAGAAAGTCAAGAGAAGAAAAAAGTGGGAGGGAGCAGCTGCAGATGGTCACGGGTATAGTTTAGACAGAAAATCAAGGCAAAGAAACTTTACCTTGTTGAGCAATGTCATGATAAAGGCGCTCCACTTTAGAGTTGTTACGTAATAAATCCAAACATTGTCTGTAAGACTCCCAAAGAAATTTAACCCATGGAGTTAGCAGCAGACGATCTGTACGATCTTGGGTGTCCTCACCACTAACAGCACTAAGCAGCACACTGCAAATATTCAAAAAAAAAAAGGCTTAAATACATCTTGCCACCCCAGGAGATTTACCCAATTTTCTGTGAAATTTCAATAACATTTGTACAGAAAGATGGTGGCAGTGCCTTAGCTTAAAGACTGCAATCAAAAAATGCACAATAATACTCAAAAACCAAGTTAACTTGCATTGTGGAAGCAACTAAAATGTACACCAATAACGATTCAGGTCACGAGCCAAAAACATTCCTTCCAACCAGATTTAAAGACTTTAAAGAATCAGCGCAGCAAAACACTGCAGAGAACACAACATGCTAGGGTCATTAATATCACACCTGAGACTCAAAGCTGTACATATACCTCAAACATTTTGTGAAATACTAAAAGGTTTCCTTCCCTACCAACAATGTATTTTACCATAAGTATTTCCTACTGAAACTAATTACATCAAGATATCCAGTGTAATCATTTGTCAGATTCTCAGCAAATGTCAGCAAAATTAGATGCCTGAACTTCAGGAGCAACTTGGTTCTTACGCTTCAGTTCACTTAGGCTTCTTCTTTATTCAGACATTACCTGCATTCTCAGTATCAACAAATTACATGTTGATCAGTAATCCACCTCCTCGCTGATTTAGAATAAATCCTTGTTATTGCTGGTAGCAAAAGAAAAAAAGGTTCATGTCCTTGAAGTTCACTTTTATAGAATTCGCCAGTGTTTGCGAAAAATTCTCAACTATATCAGATAGATCCATCATCACAGGATGCAATTAATTTAAAAGGTGGAAGTTTCAACAACTCCATTTTTAAATGCCAAATCTGCAGACCAGCCAGTTACCTACAAATGATTTTTCTTCTTTTTTAAAATCATTTTTACCTCTTGTACAAGGCAAATAACACCAAGAAAACATTTTCAAATCCCCAATTGTGAGCAGCACCTTTCTTCCCCTCACACACTGATTAAATCAGCTTGAAAGAAAACACAGGTAGCTCCATCACCACTAAAGATGAATCCAGGACAGAACAAAGCACCATATAACTTCTCACACTGTCATCTTATGATGATCTGTAATGCACTGCCTAGAGTGATGGTGTAGGTAAACAAGTATGATGTTCAAAAGGAATTTGCAGAAGTAGTTGCAGGGAAAACATCAGGGTTAGGAGTGCAGGTGCACAGCTCCTTTAAGGTGGAGTTACAGGTAGACAGGGTAGTGAAGAACACACTTTGTACGCTAGCCTTCATTGGTCAGAACACGAGTATAGGAGTTAAGATGTCACATTGTGGTTGTACAGGACATTGGTGAGGCCACTTTTAGAATACTGCATACAATTCTGGTCACTCCTCTATAGGGAGGGTGCTGTTAAACTTGGGAGAGTACAGAAAAGATTTATAAAGAATGTTACCAGGAATGGAGAGCTTGAGTTATAGTGATAGGTTAAGGATTTTTACCTAGCAGAGACTGAAGGGTGACCTGGTAGAGGCATATAAACTCATGAGAGGCACTGATAGGATGAATAGCCAAGGTCTTTTTCCTAAGGCACAGAAGGTCAAACCTGGAGGGCATATGTTTAGTGAGGAAAAAGATTTTAAAAGGCCCTGAGGGGCAACTTTTTCATGCATGTATGGGACAAGCTGCCAGAGAAAGTGGAGGAGGCAGGTAAGATTACAACATTTAAAAAGGCATCTGAACGGGTATATGAATAGGAAGTGTTAAAAGGGATACGGGCCAAATGCTGATAAATTGGACTAAGTCAGATTGGGATGTGTGGTTGGCGCGGACGACTTGGTCTGAAGGATCGGCTTCTGTGCTGTATGACTATAAGCAAGACTATCCAAATTCCTCTTGCAGAGATCCGGCAAGAATGTGCTAACCAGTTCACTACGCATATTTCTAACTGAATAGAAGAAATGTGGCTTTAGTCTTTCACAGGGTGTGAGTGTCACTGACTAGGCCAGCATTTATTGCCCATCCCTGCCCCAGAGGGCATTTGAGAGTCAACCACATTGCTTAGAGTCTGGAGTCACATATAGGTCAGACCAGTTAAGGATGGCAGTTTCCTTCCCTAAAGGACAATAGTGATTCAGATGGGTTTTTCCAACAATCTTCAAATGTCATCATAAGACTCTTAGTCACAGATTTTTTTTTTTAAAAAAACACTGAAGTCAAATTCTACCATTTGCCATTCAAACCTGGGCCCTCAGAACATTACTCGGATCTCTGGATTAACAGTCTAGCAGTAATGCCACTAGACCATTGCCTCCTCAAAATCAGTCTAATTCTGTCAACAGAAATTCATGACAGCAATTAACTAGTCAGTTTCCATCAGGTCTGACATAGCCAGCACACAAGATCATTTCATATCTTTAACAAAATTATGGTAAAATAACCATGCACTAAAACAACATAGCTGTGTGAACAGATCTACAGGTTTTTAAACAGGTTACTGTTGGCTTGTTGTATCATTCAATGGACATTGCAGTATTCTGTTGGTAGTGAAGTTTGATTTGCTACTTCAGGTAAATCAGTTTCAGACTATTCACTTTTACCAGTCAAGGAACTTCAGTGCAGGATGTAGATGTTAGATATTATTGCACGTCTGTTTGTGCACCTCCAAACAAGAGCAACTGACCAGCAGGTTAAAACTTTTCATATCCTGCAATTTGAAAGAGACGAGAAGGATAAAACTGCCAGCAGGGAATGAAAGGCAATACCACTTTCTGGCCTTAAAAGTAAAGCACTGCCATCGTGGAATAATCAATCATCTATCACAAATTTAGCTTCAGAAATCGGCGCACAGGAAAAAAAAAGTCATAGAAATCAATTCTTTTGGGCTCCAGATGCACAAGACACTGAAACCAAAACACTTGCTGACAGCTTACCTCTCTGGAGTTTGAATATTGTCCAAGTCTTCAATATCAAGTACCATCTGCTGAGACTCTCCTTTAGCAGCTTCAGTCTTTTCCTCAGCTAACTTAAGATAAGCTCTAACCACATCCTCCAAGGACTTGATATTTACCTGTAAGAAGCAAATAAAAGAAAGAAAATGTAAGGTATCCCAGCAGAAGCAAAGCCAAACTCTCATTTAACATAAAGCTGGCCCATTTGTAAGCAACCAGTGTCACACTTAAGGATTTCAGTATCCAGGAAACTGTTGAGAAACAGGAGTTATTTCAAAATATTGCTTTAACTCATCAAGCATTCACATGTTTAAAAATGGCAAAAGCAATTGCCATAATGCCATGAACTGTGGATATTGAACTGCTTTCTGGTTTATTGCTGTAGTAACGATCATATCTATTTTGCTGGTGATACCGCTAGTTGGTGGTTGGCAGGGAGTGTAGAGGTCCAACCCTTTCTGACAGCAAACAGCAAAAGATAAAACAAAAACCTAAACCGATATGGAGGTCAGGCTAAAGCAACAAAGACAGTATTGGTCAAAAAGGGAAGGGTCCATGGCAAAATGCTGATGAAATGAAGTACGAGAGAACAGTCAAATTTTCTTCAAATCAAGTAATACAATCTAGCACGTAGCATATCATATAGCTTTTATACAAAACAAGTCAAACTGCACTGTCTGAAATCAAGTAGTCCTATCATAACTAATTCAGTATGCTTGGGAGATAGAAGTACATATACATGCAAATGGTTATAGTTCAGCACCATAAATGAATATTACCCAAAAAATTGTTGTTGAGTGGATAATGGGCAGTTGGAGCCAAACACTACTTAGAGGAACCACTGAGTCAAGATTGGAAGCAGCAACTATTTTTGCACTTCAAAAAGGTAGAAAAGTAGACCAAAAAGCAGTCTGACATTTCATCTGAAAATAATCATTCTCTTTATTTTGATTAAGACTGAAACACTAAAGTGGCAAAGCTCAGTGACTTCCAATCAAATATTTGCTGTCAGATCCTGGAGCTGTGAACCTCAGAAAGCCAATGATACGTGAGCGGATTATGAATTCTTTGTTTTTAAAAAGTAGCTTTTTATTTTGGGGCAGATCAGGGAAAATAAGAAGAGGAGAAACTGGAGTAAAAGCTTTATTTCCACTTCCTACTCAACTAGATTGGTCGAGTCAGACATCATGCAACCCTGATGCCTTGTATAACCCAGATTTCCCTATGACAACTTTATATAGTTTCATTTACTTTAAGTTAGGGTTTATGAGTTAGTAATGGGGATTTCTGCACTGAAGTTAAGTATTTCTGTAGTAATTGTGATTCCTTTTAAAACAGTTTGAGCCCAAGCATTAGAATTAATGGGTTTTTGTATATATCAGGTCAAAAAGTACTATTAAACAAAACTCTTGTTTGCAAGGTCAGGACAGTTCCACCCCCCCCCCACCCCCGACCCAGCTGAAGGTAAACACCCATAGCTTAAACTTTTTTTCTGCTGGCAACATCTTTGGATGAAGATGGCTGTATAGGCCAGTTGGAAGTATGTAGCAAAACTAGACTGCCTTAGAATAATGGCTGTGTGTTATTCTCAGGCCAGACTTGGTGGGATAAAACCCTGAAGAAGTTACTTAAAGCTGAGTAGGTTTAAAGTTCAGGTGTACAGTAGCTTCAGAAAAGTTATCTGCAGCCCCAGTCTAAAAATTAAAAAGTTAGAAGTACTGAGGTTTCAGAGACAGGACACTGATGTGAGTACTGTACAAGTGGTATTTCTGTGTAATATACAAAGTTGCTGTTCCTCTTTGTTTAGTAATTAATGGGACTTTACCTTGTATAAGTTATAGTTTATAATAGATGGTTTGATTTATTTTATCTTATCATCTTGCGTTATTAAATTTGTCTTAGTCTTTAAGCAAAATCTACAGTTTTGCACACGTGTGTTTCAATAAGAGACCACTGTCAGAACTGAACAAAAAAATGAAAATTTAATACATCAAGCCATATATTAATCTGGAAACGGGTTTATCTACAAAAAAAAAATCAGCTGGGATCATAACATCTGTTTTAGCCCATTATTTGAACTAGCAGAAAAGCAACCCTCTGCTGAATTTGCATTTGCCTCATCCCACTGCCGCTGAAACTTGCACCATGACTCAAGCCTGATTTGCCCAAAACTGTACTGTTGGATCTTCTGCATTTCAATTAGTACAATCAAACTTATCCAAAAAGCACTTCACAAACCTAACCTTTTCACATTTTGCTTCTATTCTTAAACTATCCCACTGGCTCCCCACCTTTTTTTTTTGAAAATGTTCCTTCATTGCCTTGCCCACCCTACCTCAACCTTGCTATAGTCCTCCAACCCAGTTCACGCGCTCTCCTTTTGCCTCGAGTTCTGTCCATTGCTGCCAAAAACACCTAGTCACCCTTGCTGCATCTCTTCATGGAATCTATTTCAATTTACTTCTCTCAATTCCTATTTAGTGCCCATTTTCCCTGTGGGATATGAGTAGATTGAACAGATATTAGCCAAGAGTTATATTCCTATTCACATGCAGACAGCCTTCCTACCAGTGTATCTTTAAAAAAGTGCACAAGGACATGAGAAATAGAAAAATGCACATTAAAAATAAGAACAATGGTAAAATCATTAAGATTTTTAATTGTTACTCATAGAATTTATGCAATTGCCTAAAAATGCTGTTTGCAAATTTCCAATCTGCCAACTTCAGAAACATAATAAAAAAACTTAGTAGAAACGAGATTAATAATTTTCATGCCAGGGCCTTTACAAAAAAGAAAAAAAAAATTGTTTTTCAATTTGTGTCTGCAGCATTCCTGAAGTTCAACATACCTGCTGACAGATGTTCTTGTACTGATACAACCCTTCCTTTGCTAAGTGGCTCTTGCGAAGATCCACACACAGCTCCAGGTATTTGAGCATAATTGGCTCGTGTATTTTCTGCCATGTTCGATGTTTTTTGCTTTTAATAACATCATACAACACATCAAGAGCAGGTTGTTTTTTGCCAACCTCCAAGAATTCTGCAATTAAACAGTAACATTATTAATAAAGGATCCCCAGACAAACTTGTAATAAAACATTTACTGCGTTTTAAGCAGCTCAGTGTAACCAAGCAGTCAAGATGGACAATAGAACTTTTCCATTTTGACTAACTCAATACAACATTTGTGGACAGCTTTGGCTGTCAGGCTTATTTATAAACGTTACTCTTAATTACAGAAGCTTATTCTAACAAAAAAAAACAGCATTTTTCCAAGCAGGTCATAAATAATTGCAAGAATGGCTCATAATATAATCAAACTCTTCTCAATACCAGCGAGGCCAGGTTATTTCTATTAAATATATTGCTCCCATTATCACTGCTACAAAAGTAGCATCAAGGAGCCCTGATGACTCCTATTTACTCTAAAAACTTGCCACACACCAAGAACATTGATAGGACTAGAAAAGGAGGTTCCATTGAAAGATTTTGAACAAGTAGCAGCTAAATTAAAACACCTCCAAAGTCATAACTGCAGGGTTTCTACTTGAGCCATAAGCAAACTGGCGCAGAGTAAATAAAGTAAAGTAAGGTAGTTAAATGAATGGCTCAAAAAGATTGTTATGAAAAAAAATTGAAGTTAGTGGGGCAGCTGCACCAGTTTTAGGTCAGAAGGAGAAGGTCACAAATCACACAACACCAGGTTATAGTCCAACTTAGTCCACTGACAACTCCACATCAGGGGTAGAAGGAAGCAGACCCAGTGGGACAGGCTGCACTGGGACCAGCTTCTTGGCAAATCTAACAACTAAAGGTTGTACAACAAGGGGGAGGGAGGATAGGAAGCAGGCCTACTCAATTATCTTAAATGTAGAAGATCCTTTGGGAAACAGTAACCACAACATGAATTTAGCAGTTACAAAAGGAGGAATTTGGTTTAGAAACAACTGTGTTTAAAGAAACTTAAAGGGCAATTACAAAGAAATGAGAGCACTGTTAACTCAAGTGGACCAGGAAAGCTCGAGGCTCACAGCAATGAAATATGCCAGTGAGAAAAATGGATTCTTGGAAGGAGATAAGATAACCACGGCTCAAAGTCAAGGATAGCATCAGATACAAAGAAAAAATGTGGCAACATAGGGAAGATTAGTGGTAAGCCAGAGGTTTGGGGAAGTTTTGAAAACCAACAAAAAAAACAACTAAAATAATAGAGAAAATAAACTTTGGTAAACTTGCAAGTAATATTAACACAGACAGTAAGGGCTTCCTTAAACATATTTTAAAAGAAGGCCAGTTAGGCAAATCAGGAAATGGCAAGAAAGTTGAAAAAATACTTTATATCAGAAGATACTAATAACAAGCCAAAATTACTAAATCTTCCAGAGGCAAAACAAGGAGGAAATAAATACAACTATTACCAGAGAAAGTTAGAGAAATCAGTGACAAAATTCCAATACGTCCCTTGGACCTGAAGGGACACATCCTTAGATATTAGGAGTAGCTATAGAAATAGTGGATGCACTGGTAGTAATCGGCTAATAACACTTAGATTTTAGCAAGGTCCCAGAAGACTGGCAGTTTTCCCATGTAATATCTTTTTCAAACAAAGGGACAAAGACAGTAAACTATAGGTCAATTAGCTTAACATCTGTCATTGGGAAATGTTTCAGTCTTATTGTGAACGAGGATGTAACAGCAGAACATTCAGACAGACATAACATGAGCAGAGTCAAGGTGGCTTCATGAAGTGTAAACCATACCTGACAAATTTATTTGAATTCTTGGAGGTGGTAACAAGCAGGATAGGTTGAAAAAAAAACACAAGGCAGCAGCGGAGGTAACATAGATAGTAGGAACTGCAGATGCTGGAAAATCTGAGATAACAAGGTGTAGAGCTGGATGAACACAGCAGGCCAAGCAGCATCATAGGAGCAGGAAGGCTGACATTTCGGGCCTAGACCCTTCATCAGAAAATCTGCTGTGTTCATCCAGCTCTACACCTTAATACCTCCACTGAGATAACATGTTTGGATTTCCAGAAAGCGTTTGATAAGGTGTCACATGTTGGGCTCTTAAGTAGCCTAGAGTATTGGAGTATGATTAGAGGACTGGCAAACAAAAGACAGAGCTTGGGATTGATGGTGCTGGGGAATTCAGGATGGCAAGGAGTGCCACAGTGCTAGGGCCGCAACTACTTATAATAGATATCAATGACTTCGATGAGGAAAGTGTACTGTTGCCAAATTTGTGGGTGACAAAAATTGGTGGGGAACAGTCTACAGAGAGGCAAGACAGGTTAAATGAACAGGCCAAAACTGCGGAACAACAGCGAACCAGCTCAGCTAGCCAACCAACCACAACATCCACAACCTGAGCTACAAATCTACTCCAAAATTTTAAAAACTTGGCATTGAATATAATATGGGGAAATGGGAGGTTATGCACTGAAAGCAAGAAGAGTAGTTGAATGTTATTTAAATAGACAGAGTGCAAAAAGCTACAGTACAGTAACTTGAATCATGTGATTTTTAGACAAAATTAAAAAAAAAAATCAACAAATTCAACGGATCATAAGCAATGCCAAAAGTACGTCAATGTTTACTTCAAAAGGAAGTGGAATATAAAGATAGAGGTCTTGCAAAAACTACACAAGGCACCAGACAATTGGGAATATTGTGAAGAGTTCTGGACCTCTTATGTAAAAGGAGAACTATATTGGCATCAGAAGCAGTCTAGAGACGGTTCAGTAGGCTCATCCCAGGTATCCAAAGAACAGGGAGACAATAGGGCCCCTTAAAAGATCAACAAGGTTGTCTGTGCGGAACCACAGGAGATGGGAGAGATAATAAATGAATATTTTATGAAGAGGAAATGGAGGCTGGGGAAATAAATACTGATGTCTTGAAAACAGCCCACATTGCAGAAGAGAAGATGCTGGAGGTTTGAAAAACAAAAAGGTGGATAAAACCTCTGGGATCTGAAGAAGTGTATCCCAGGATATTATGGAAAGTTAGGAAGAAATTGCAGGGGCCCTTAGCAGAGATATTTCAATTACCTACAGTCCCAGCTGAGGTGCTGGACTGTGGTTAATGCTGTGCCTTTTAAGTAAAAGCTACAAGGAAAAGCCTGGGAACTATATTCCCATGGCTTTGACATCAGTGGTGGGTAAAAGGGCAGAATTCTTAGAGACAAGATTTACATGCATTGAAAGGCAAATGAACATAGAATTTAAGTAAAACCTCCGACAAGGTTCCGCGTGGTAGACTAGTCAGTAAAGTTACATCACATGGGATTCAGGCAGAACTTGTCAATTGGACACAAAATTGGTTCGATGGCAGGA